GGCGGTCGTGGAGTAAACCTTTTCTGAGGCCACTGCAAACCTATTGGAAAGCATTATGCCAATTGTGTTAATGCAAAGTTGCTTCTGTAACTACTTCCATAACTACAGTATATCCGTGAGATATAGTATGAATTATGTGGCAAATGAAATGAAGTTATGGAAACTTTACGAATATATTGTTGATAGATTATATGTGTAAAGATAACACCGACATTGTTGTTTATCTGTCCCTCCTCTCTAAGGCACCACACACACAGGTCTGACGATTTGCGAATTTCATCCCTCCAGTTTGTGTGTGTGTGTGTGTGTGTGTGTGTGTGTGTGTGTGTCGTTACCATATGTCAGATATTATAATCAGTTTCCTTACGTGCTTCCTTCTTGTCGTACCATCAACAGACCGGCCACGTTCTCTATGCCGTGTAATAACTGGTCTGGACTTTATCGATTAAATTTGCCTTTGGGATAGGTTTTAATATCTGCTGTAATTGTTTCTCCTTTAAGCAGCTATCCTGTTCCGCGACCGATTTCTATATCAAGTATTAATTATGTTCCGAGGGATGAGGACTTCCTATAGGCTAAAAGCAGTGGTTCTCAACCTTGTTTGCCCCATGCACCCCTTTCACCATATGTCAGAATGTCATTCCCCCCTCCTTTCTAAGATTGTCTACCTCAAAAAGTTCATTCCAAATAATATGCATATAATACTGAAAATCCTTTATTTTTTCCATATTAGTATCAGTTTCCCCCCCCCCCCCTGAAAACCTGAGGGGGGAAATTCCCCCCTGGTTGAGAACCCCTGGGCTAAAGGGACTGATGCAGCTGTCAGTATTAATGACGCTGCTCCTTTTGTTTGTAGTTTGTTGTTGTTGGAAGTGCTGACTGCTCATGTGAGCATATTGGGAGTGTGGAAACTGTTCTCTCTGAAGTGTTTTCTTGGGAACAATGTCGTTGAGGATAGACACTCCACTTCAGTTCCCTTCTCTCAAGGACTAGAAGATGTCCTCAAAACTGTATCCTTCCATCTTGGGGGTAAATTTAGCTCCCATGAAATATTCTCATTTAAAGCTTTTCTTTTATCTACACAAAAGTGTAGTAGCGTCATTTTTTTCGATTCAATAGTAAACGTTAATATGACCTTCATTAAATATTTGGTCCAAATTAATCACCACATTTTCTTGAAAAGTTCGTTAATCATTTCCTATAATTTTATCAATTGATTTTCCTCAAGTCGGATTATGAAGCCTTTTTTTTTTTCTCCCCTTGTTTAATTTCCTTTAAATTTGTTTTCAATTTGTATCATCATCTAAAACTCGTCAAATAATATCACCCTTTACATTTTCTCTCAATAAATGTAAAAATTATATTAAGAAAATTATTCCTTATCGTCTAAATAATTAAAGCAATTTCTCAAAAATTACATTATATTCGAAATAGCCGCCACACAGCGTTCAAGAACATGGTTTTATTTTCCATTAGGACTTGCAACGCTGCGCCTCACCCCCGCCCTTCTAAAAGCTTTCTCTCATTCTGTTAAACACCAGACGACTCGCACCATTACTGTCCTTCTGTCACATACCCTTAACAAATTCCTTCTGGCCTCTCTCTCATTTCCTCTATCTCACTCTTTTCCTCCACTTTCTCCTCTATGCCCCATCCTTCTTTTATTCTCTTTCTTATCAACTGCCTCCACCGTTTCCATTCCAGCTCCCTTTCCCTCTTACATTTTCTCCCCTTTTCCATTTTCCTCCTCTTTTGTTTCTACTTACCCTTTCCTTTCTTTGCTGTCTCTCCTCTTTTCATTGCCCTGCTTCCCCATTCTCTTATTTTTTTCTTCCCTACCACTTGCAGAACAGTCAAATTCTTTATCTACATCCTCCCTTCACATTTCATCTTGGCGTTTAGTTTATTTACAGTCTTCTCTCCCTTTTATCTCTTTGGTTATTATACCACCTTTTTATTCTCTCCATCTTATCTCTTTATTTCATTTCCTTAACCCCGCCTTCATCCCCTCTCTTCGCTACATACTTGATCCCTCTCTCTCTCTCTCTCTCTCTCTCTCTCTCTCTCTCTCTCTCTCTCTCGTGTGTCGTAAAACTCCCCCAAAAGACTGCTTAAGAAAAGACCATTACTAAAGAAGGATAATCAGATTATAAAACTGATGGCGGAGTGGTAAATGCTGCCCTGAGTGACCGGATAAAACCCCAATGGACATAATCCCAGTCTCATATATAAAATATAAAATAAAACACTTATATTTAGATTAGGTTAGGTTAGGTTAGGTTAGTGTTAACAAATGACAACCCCGTTGGTGTTTTGTCATGGAACCGCTGCCCTGAGAGAAAGTGCATCACAAGGCTTTACTAAAATGAGTGAGTAAAACCTGAGTGATGTCGCTCTTTCAGTGGCACATAGTGGTCAACCCCAAACCCCACCGCCTCTTCCCCTTTCCCGTGTTTACTTAATACAGTAAAGTCATATGGGAAACAATATTTTCTCGGAATGGGCAACGGTTTGTCTGGACTCTCGGTGCTTGGGTATGTCATTATCATGTCAGTATATCGATGACTTTTTTTTTGAATGAGACGGTTTGCATTTGTTTTTGTTTTAGATGTCATGTACTGTAACACAGATTACGTGTCATAATTACTTAGAGAAGTTCAGGTGTGATGGATATATTTACGGTCACAGGTGTAGCGATGTGAGGATCCTCTGGACCAGGAACTATTTCAGGTGTTCAGTATTGCCAACTTAGGTAGCGGACAAAGTTCTCAGAGGGCTACAGTACTTGCCGTGGCGGGCGAGAAATTTGTCACTCTGTCACGGAGAGGGTTGGTAATAGTGAATACCTTATCACCCAAAAGAACCCCCCACCACAACACACATAGTAGTAGGTAGTAGGCAGCTCCCAAACAGGGATATACTGCCTAGGAAGATACTGGAAGCATAATGTGTTGTCTAACGGGAGACCCTGCTGCCATATGGCATCAGGAAAATTGTGAGCAAGTCCCACGTTGCTGAACTGACTTTCTGCCTCATTTACACACAACTGCAGGATCTCAATTGTTTCTCTTACTTTGCAACACAACATACATGTATTGTTTCTATCTATTGATTTTTTTAATTTTTGCATTTCTTTATGGTTCTTTATTTTTCTTCTTCTTCTTCTTATTCTTATTTATTTTTCTTCTTCTTCTTCTTCTTCTTCTTCTTCTTCTTCTTCTTCTTCTTCTTCTTCTTCTTCTTCTTCTTCTTCTTCTTCTTCTTCTTCTTCTTCTTCTTCTTCTTCTTCTTTATTTATTTTTACTTCTTCTTCTTCTTCTTCTTCTTCTTCTTCTTCTTCTTCTTCTTCACTTCTTCTTCTTCTTTATCTTTTCTTCTTCTTCTTCTTCTTCTTCTTTTCTTCTTCCTTCTTCTTTCTTCTTCTTCTTCTTCTTCTTTATTTCTTCTTCTTTATTCTTCTTATTTATTTCTTCTTCTTCTTCTTCTTCTTTCTTCTTCTTTTTTTTTTATTCTTCTTCTTCTTCTTCTTCTTCTTCTTCTTCTTCTTCTTTCTTCTTATTTATTTCTTCTTCTTCTTCTATTTATTTATTCTTCTTCTTTATTTCTTCTTCTTCTTCTTCTTCTTCTTCTTGTTCTTCTTATTTATTACTTCTTCTTCTTCTTCTTCATTTATCTTCTTTATTTCTTCTTCTTCTTCTTCTTTATCTAGTCTTCTTCATCTTTCTTTATTTATTTATTTCTTCTTCTTATTATTTCTTCTTCTTCTTCTTCTTCTTCTATTTTTCTATTTATTTATTTATTATTTATTCTTTTTTATTTATTTATTTTTCTTTTGCTTCTTCTTCTTCTTCTTCTTCTTCTTCTTTCTTCTTCTTCTTCTTCTTCTTCTTCTTCTTCTTCTTTTCCTTCTTCTTCTTCTTCTTCTTCTTCTTGCTTTTTGTTCTTCTTCTTCTTCTTCTTCTTCTTCTTCCTTTTCTTCTTCTTCCTTTTCTTCTTCTTCTTCTTCTTCTTCTTCTTCTTCTTCTTCTTCTTCTTCTTCTTCTTCTTCTTCTTCTTCTTCTTCTTCTTCTTCAGGAAGGGTGACACCGTCTCTTGAAGAGGTGATTGGGGGAGATAAGGAGGGGGTGTTGAGAGGAGGATGATGAGGAAGGAGGGCAGAGACGTTTCGAGTGGGGTCGATGGCCGTGGGGTTTTATTCTTTATGACCTTCCCTCCCCCTCCCCTCCTCTCCCCTCCTCTACCCCCCCCCCTGATTTTGTATGGCCCCCTCCCCATGGGTCATCACTCCATCCCTTTCTCCTTCTCTCTCCTCAGACCAACCCCCTCTCATTCTTCTCCCCATCTTTTCCTTCCCATCTCCCCTTTCTCACACCGTGGACTTCTTTTCACCTCCACATTTCTCTTCTCTCAGTCTGGTCTCGGTCTCTTAGTCTGGTCTCTCGTGGTCTGGTCTGGTCTCTCAATCTGGTCTCTTGGTCTGGTCTCTTAGTCTGGTCTCTTGGTCTGCTCTGGTCTGGTCTTGGTCTCTCGCTCTGGTCTGGTCTAATCTGGTCCTCTGGTTCTGTCTCTCAGTCAGTCTGGTCTCTCGGTCTGCTCACGGTCTGGTCTTGGTCTCTCGCTATGGTCTGGTCTCTCTGGTCTCTCTCGGTCTGGTCTCTCTCCGGTCTGCTCACGGTCTGGTCTCAGTCTGGTCTCTGGTCTGGTCTCTCGGTCTGCTCACGGTCTGGTCTTGGTCTCTCCTTATGGTCTGGTCTCAATCTGGTCTCTCGGTCTCGGTTCTCTCAGTCAGTCTGGTCTCTCGGTCTGGTCTCTACGGTCTGTCTCTCGGTCTGTGGTCTCTCGGTCTGCTCTCTCGGTCTGCTCACGGTCTGGTCTTGGTCTCTCGCTATGGTCTGGTCTCAATCTGATCTCTTGGTCTGGTCTCTCAGTCAGTCTGGTCTCTCGTCTGGTCTCTCGGTCTGGTCTCTCCGGTCTGCTCACGGTCTGGTCTTGGTCTCGCTATGGTCTGGTCTCAATCTGGTCTCTTGGTCTGGTCTCTCAGTCAGTCTGGTCTCTCGGTCTGGTCTCTCGGTCTGCTCACGGTGCGGTCTCGTCTCTCAGCCTGGCCGATTACACATAGTGGGCGCCATCGACCGTGTGAGACCCCAGTACTACCATCAGACCCCCATCAGACCCGCCATCGAACCCGCCCATCGAACCCGCCCATCGAACCCCATCAGACCCCCATCGAACCCCCCATCGAACCCCCATCGAACCCCCATCGAACCCGCCCATCGAACCCGCCCATCGAACCCCACCCATCAGGCCCCATCCGACCCCGCCCATCGGACCCCGCCCCATGGGCCCCGCATCGAACCCGCCCCATCAGACCCCCATCAGACCCCCGGCCCGTGAACCCCCATCGAACCCCCGCCCTCTCGAACCCGCCCCATCGGACCCCGCCCCATCGAACCCCGCCTATCAGACCCTGCCCCCATCGGGCCGCCCCATCGGACCCCGCCCTATCAGACCCCCCCATCGAATCCCCGCCCATCAGACCCCGCCCCATCGAACCCCGCCCATCAGTCCCGCCCATGGGCCCCCCCATCAGACCCCGCCCATCAGACCCCGCCCCATCAGACCCCGCCCCATCAGACCCCCGCCCCATCAGGCCCCCATCGAACCCCGCATCAGACCCCATCAGACCCCCACCATCAGACCCCGCCCTTCGACCACCGCCCATCGAACCCAGCCCCATCAGCCCCTTGCTCCAGACCCCCTATCAGACCCCGCCCATCAGACCCGCCCATTAGACCCCGCATTAGACCCCAACCCGGTGAAAAATTTGAGACCTCTGCCCCATGAAATACGAGAGACATGGAGAGATAAAGAGAAAGTCAGAGAGAGAGAGAGAGGTCAAGGGAAAGTCAAGAGAGAGAGAGAGAAAGTCAGAGAAAATCAAAGAAGAGACATATTTCAGCTGTTGTCAACGAACCACCTCAATAAATTTTCTTCCACACGTCTTCTTCAAACAATAATATTCTGAATTTTGTCTTGAGGTGTTTGTCTTGATGTGTTTTTTATCTTGAGGTGTTTGTTTGTCTTGGGTGTTTTCTCTTGAGGTGTTTTATCTTGATGTGTTGTTTGTCTTAAGGTGTTTGTCTTGATGTGTTTTTTTTCTTGAGGTGTTTGTTTGTCTTAAGGTGTTTCTCTTGAGGTTTTTTTATCTTGAGGTGTTTGTTTGTCTTAAGGTGTTTCTCTTAGGTGTTTTTTATCTTGATGTGTTTGTTTGTCTTGAGGTGTTTCTCTTGAGGTGTTTGTTTATCTTAATGTGTTTGTTTGTCTTAAGGTGTGTTTGTCTTGAGGTGTTTGTCTGATGTATGTGTTTGTCTTGATGTATGTGTTTGTCTTAAGGTGTTTGTCTTGATGTATGTGTTTGTCTTAGGTGTTTGTCTTAAGTGTGTTTGTCTTGAGGTGTTTGTCCTGATGTATTGTATATTTGATGCGTTTGTTTGTCTTGATATGTTTGTTTTATTTTGATGCGTTTGTTTGTGTTGAGGTGTCTTGGCTCTTGTAAAAGGTGTTTGTCTTAAGGTGTTTGTCTTAAGTGTTTGTCTTAGGTGTGTTTGTTTGGAGTTTCTTAAAGTGTTTGTCTTAAGGGTTTGTCTTAGTGTTTGTCTTAAGTGTGTTTGTCTAAGATGTGTTTGTCTTAAGGTGTGTTTGTCTTAAGGTGTTTGTCTTAGTGTGTGTTTGTCCCTAAGATTGTGTGTTTGTTTAAGGTGTGTTTGTCTTAAGGTGTTTGTCTTAAGGTGTTTGTCTTAAGGTGTTTGTCTTAAGGTGTGTTTGTCTTAAGGTGTTTGTCTTAAGGTGATTGTTTTAAGGTGTTTGTCTTAAGGTGTTTGTGTCTTAAGGTGATTGTTTTAAGGTGTGTTTGTCTTAAGGTGTGTTTGTCTTAAGGTGTGTTTGTCTTAAGGTGTTTGTCTTAAGGTGTTTGTCTTAAGGTGATTGTTTTAAGGTGTGTTTGTCTTAAGGTGTGTTTGTTTTAAGGTGTGTTTGTCTAGGTGTGTTTGTCTAAGGTGTGTTTGTCTTAGGTGTTTTGTCTTAAGGTGATTGTTTTAAGGTGTGTTTGTCTAAGGTGTGTTTGTGTAAGGTGTTTGTCTTAAGTGTTTGTCTTAAGTGTTTGTCTTAAGTGGTGTTTTAAGATGTTTGTCTTAAGGTGATTGTTTTAAGGTGTGTTTTCTCAAGTGTTTTGTCTTAAGGTGTTTGTCTTAAGGTGTGTTTGTTTATCTTGGTGTTTGTTTGTCTTAAGGTGTTTCTCTTGAGGTGTTTGTTTTTATCTTGAGGTGTTTGTTTTTTCTTCAAGTTGTTTCTCTTGAGTTTTTGTTTATCTTAATGTGTTTGTTTGTCTTAAGTGTGTTTGTCTTGAGGTGTTTGTCTTGATGTATGTGTTTGTCTTGATGTATGTGTTTGTCTTAAGGTGTTTGTCTTGATGTATGTGTTTGTCTTAAGGTGTTTGTCTTAAGGTGTGTTTGTCTTGAGGTGTTTGTCCTGATGTATTTGTTTTATTTTGATGCGTTTGTTTGTCTTGATATGTTTGTTTATTTTGATGCGTTTTGTTTTGTGTTGAGGTGTTTGTCTTAAGGTGTGTTTGTCTTAAGGTGTTTGTCTTAAAGTGTTTGTCTTAAGGTGTTTGTCTTAAGGTGTGTTTGTCTTAAGGAGTTTGTCTTGAGTGTTTGTCTTAAGGAGTTTGTCTTAAGGTGTAAGAGTATGTTTGTCTAAGGTGTTTGTCTTAAGGTATTTGTCATAAGAGTGTTTATCTTAAGGTGTTTTGTCTTAGGTGTGTTTTTCTTAAAATTGTGTTTTCTTGGAGTGTTTGTCTTGAGTGTTTGTCTTAGGTGTGTTTTGTCTTAGGTGTTTGGCAAGAATGTGTTTGTCTTAGAGTGTTTTGTCTTAAGAGTGTGTTTACAATACTTAAGAGTGTTTGTCTTTAGGTTTGTCTTCATTATTACTTCTGTTTGTCTCCAAGGTGTGTTTGTCTTGAGTGTGTGTTTGTCTTAGGTGTTTGTCTTAAAATTGTTGTCTTAAGTGTGTTTGTCTTAAGTGTTTTGTCTTAAGAGTGTATTTATCTTAAATTATGTTTGTCTTAAGAGTGTTTGTCTTAAAATTGTGTTTGTCTTAAAGTATTTGTCTTAAAATGTTTTATCTTAGAGTATTGTTGTCTTAAAATGTGTTTATCTTAAGAGTGTTTTGTCTTAAAATTATTTATCTTAAAGATTGTTTTATCTTAAGGTATATTTAATGTGAAGTGTGTTTATGTAAGTGTGTGTTTGTCTTAAGGTGTTTATCTTAAAGTATTTAATAACTTAGGTATTGTTTGTCTTAAAAATTGTTTGTCTTAAAATTATTTATCTTAAGAGTATATTTGTCTTAAAGTATTTATCTTAAGTATGTTTGTCCTAAGTATGTTTAATAACTTAAAATTATTTTGTCTTAAGTATTTTATCTTAAATGTTATCTTAAATGTATTTATCTTCAGAGTATATTTACATGTAAAATATTTTAATGTAGTATTTTGTCTAAGAGTATTTATCTTAAAATATTTGTCTTAAGTATTTGTCTTAAAGTATTTATCTTAAAATTATTTGTCTTAGAGTATTTAGCATATAACTTAAAATTATTTGTCTTGGTGTATTTTATGTAAGTATTTATCTTAAAGTATTTGTATATAAATGTATTTATCTTAAGAGTATTTATCTTAGGGTGTGTTTGTCTTAAGGTGTTTGTCTTAAGGTGTTTGTCTTAAGGTGTTTGTCTTAGTGTTTTGTCTTAAAGTGTTTATTAACCAAAATTGTGTTTGTCTTAAGTGTGTTTGTCTTAAGAGTGTGTTGTCTTGAAGTGTTTATCTTAGAGTGTTTGTCTTAGATGTGTTTGTCTTAAGGTGTTTGTCTTAAAATTGTTTATCTTAAAGTGTTTATCTTAAAATTGTGTTTATTAACAAGTGTTGTTTTAATGTGGAGTGTTATCTTAAGAGTATTTATCTTAAAATTATTTATCTTAAATTATTTTATCTTAAGAGTATTTGTCTTCAAGAATTATTTGTCTTTTAAGAGTGTTTGTCTTCCCGAAATTGTGTTTTAACTCTTAGAGTATTTTATCTTAAATTATTTATGTAAAATTAATATTTATCTTAAGAATTATTTGTATCTTAAAGATATGTTTATCTTAAAATTATTTATCTTAAGTGTTATCTTAGATGTTTGTCTTAAGGTGTTTTGTCTTCAAGTATTTATCTTAAAATTATATTTATCTTAAGTGTGTTTGTGGGGTATGTTTGTGTAAGAGTATTTATCTTAAGAGTGTGTTTGTCTTAGGTGTATGTTTGTCTTCAAGTGTTTGTCTTAAAGTGTTTTATGTAAGGTATTTGTCTTAGGTGTGTATTTGTCTTCCAAATTATTTGTCTTAGATATTTTATCTTAAGAGTGTTTGTCTTCAGGTATTATTTGTCTTAAGTGTTTGTCTTAAAAGTGTATTTATCTTAAGTGTTTGTCTTAGAGTGGCATTTATGTAAGGTGTTGTCTTAAGAGTATTTATGTAAGATATATTTGTCTCCAAGTGTGTATGTTTAATATTAGAATATATTTTGTCTTAAATGTTTATCTTAAGGTGTTTGTCTTAAGGTATTGTTTGTCTCTTAAGGTATTTGTCTTAAAGTGTAATATTTTGTCTTAAAGTATTTTTGTCTTTTAAAAATGTATTTTGTCTTAAGTGTTGTCTTAAAATTATTTATCTTAAATGTATGTTTATCTTAGTGTTTGTCTTAAGTGTATTTGTCTAAAATTATATTTTGTCCCTAAGAGTATTTGTCTTGATATTTGTCTTAAAGAGTATTTAATGTAAAATGTTTAATAACAAGTGTATTTTCCTATAAGAGTATGTTTTTCTTAAGTATTTATCTTAAGAGTAATATTTTGTCTTAAAATTATTTATCTTTTAAATATATTTATATAAGTATTTATCTCTTGAAATATATTGTCTTAAATATTTGTCTTTTCCGTGTTTGTCTTATGTGTATTTATCTCAAGTATATTTATCTTAAGTATATTTGTCTTAAGTATTTTATGTAAGTATTTATCTTAAGGTGTTTGTCTTAAGAGTAATGTTTATCTTAAAGAGTGTTTGTTTTAAGTGTATTTATCCCTAAAGTGTGTTTATGTTAGGTGTGTTTGTCTAAAATTGTGTTGTCTTAGGTATGTTTTGTCTTAGAGTAATATTTATCTTAAGTAATATTTATCTTGAGTGTTTGTCTTAAGGTGTATTTATCTTAAGTGTTTGTCTTAAAATTATGTTACACATCTTAAAAGTATGTTTGTCTTAAAATTGTGTTGTCTTAAGAGTATTTTGTCTTAAATTATTTTATCTTAAGTGTGTGTTTATCTTAAGAGTATGTTTATGTAAAATTATTTGTCTTAAAATTATGTGTTTAATATAAAGTATTTTGTCTTAAATTATTTGTCTTAAAATGTTTTGTCTTAAATGTTGTATAGAATATGTTGTCTTCATTATGTTTGTCTTAAAAGAGTAATATTTATCTTAGTGTTTGTCTTAAGAGTATTTTGTCTTAGAGTATTTATCTTAAGGTGTTGTTTGTCTTAGGTGTGTTGTCTTAAGTGTTTGTCTTAGGTGTTTGTCTTAAAGTGTTGTCCTTAAGGTGTTTGTCTTAGAGTGTTTGTCTTAAGGTGTTGTCTTAGGTGTTTGTCTTAAGAGTGTGTTTGTCTTAAGGTGTTTAAATATTTAAGGTGTTGTCTTAAAGGTG